TACAGTACAACTCTCCCAGTGACCGCCGATCAGTGGCCCTGAGATGAGGGTGCTTCCGCTGGGCTGCAAGGCGGTGCTCTGGAGGCTCAAGCCTGCCACCACTCGAGAGCCACCACTCTGCCCCCTGGAGGGGTGGGGCTGGGGTTGCATGCATGTCCCAATCGAAGGACAGCACGCCAGGGGCAGGAGCAGTGCCCACCACTGGGCCACCTGCGAGCCCACACTATGGCTTTCCGACATCCCCAGGCTTTAGGCACCTCTCCAGGGGCCACCACGCCATGTGCTTGAGGGAAAGCACAGGAGTTCTTGGGCTTAATAACAGTTCTCAGCCACTGGTTCCTGGACAATTCAAGCAGAGATGTCAGGTTCTGAATGCTGGAAAATGTCACTAAAACTGCAGCACGTGTCGTGTGCTTCTCGCCTCTTCGTGGGTGCCAAGGAGCCTGTAAGGAAGTGACTCTGTTCAGCCCCAGACAGAGCAGCACCCACCTGGGTGTGGCTTGTGATGAGGCCCCTGGGAGAGCTGTAGGGAAGATAATAAGGCCCTGTGCTTAGCCAGCAGTCTTCCCCAGAGCTTCTGCCGCCGCCACAGTAGCTCTTTCCTCTGCAGGCTTTCCCTGGAGACTTAGGGCTGTGTTGTCACTATTCTACAGAGCTAGAGACTGAGGCTGGGCTTGAAAGCATGGCAGAGTGAAGTTTTGGAGCAAGGCTGAGCTGGGGGTGTGCTCAGAACTAGGACTTGGCTGGAGAACAAGTCAGACAAAGAGGCAGGACCCAAGGGGGTGTGTGACGAGCTGGTGTCATTCCCGCTGGGTGTGCAGCCTCAGCTGAACTTCTTCGGTTGCTAAGTAAAGAACCCAAGTGGCTCTAGGACTTCTAGGACAGGATTCTAATCCCCACTGTGCCACTCCCCAATGAGTGACCTCAGCCAAAGGGAAGTAGAAAATAAATTATTAGGTGGGCCATGTGCCAGGTCATGTGTGTGTGTTGAAGCGTGTCTGACCCAAGGCCCATTGCTTCTCCCTGTAAGTGTCTGTCCTACACGCAGGGCCACTTGACTCTGGAAGTCCATTCCATGCTCTAGACCTCGGCTCCTCCTCAGGCAAGGGGAATAATCCCTGTCTTGCTGGCCTCATTAGGTGATGGTGAGATGGGTTAGAAAGAGCACAGTGAAGAACACTTCCTAATACGCAGTGCAGAGGGTAAATAGGTAATTTTCAGATTCATCTGATCTTTTGGACTAGCCAAAGGAGATTTTAAAAAATACTGATTGTTGAGGGTCTGATTCAATGACCATGAGAACCGATGTCCTTAAAATAAATCCCCATGTTCAGGAGGTTTCTGAAACAGCTCCTGTTCACAGGGACAGGGAAGGAACACTATTTCCCTAGACCTTGGGTGTCCCAGGACCTTGTGTCCTCTTTCTCGCCTCTCCCCAAGATGTGGTCCTGCCCACGCTCTGTATCCCTGAAGTTTTCCATTCCATTCTTCTGCTCATACAATTTGGCTGCCTCTCAGCACCTCCCAGCCAAAAACTGGAGGAGGAAGAGGAGGAAGGTGGAAAAGCAAAGGATCTGATCCAATGTATAAACTGCCTTCAGGTAGCCAGACCTGGTGAGCTGGCATGGAGCTAGCCAAGCCACGGGGTAGAGAACCAGCCAAGTCTGAGTAAGCCAGTGGAGTTCCCAGGTGATACCTCACGCTTCTGCCTTTGGTTAGAAAACAGGAAGTATGGTTGAATCCCATAGGATGCATCTTGTTTTATGGTTCTGATTTTGCCTGCAACTTCCTAAACTTTCTGGATATTTCTTCGGAGCAAAAAGGGTCTAGAACAACTCTTCCTGTTTGAAATACTCAAATATCTCTAGCACAAAAAAAAAAAAAAAAAAAAAAAAAAAGTCTTACCATGGATGATTCCAATGGCGAGACTATGGAGAAGCTACTCCCATTAGTTTTAGGGTGACTCGTATTAAGGTCCCCTCTCCCCTCTCAGAACTTTACCTTGAAACTTTGCTGCAGTTTCAGGCAACTTCAAGACTGGTTTACTCCCTGTGAGAGTAGTTGGCTGGGATGTTGGGACAGGGGAGCTCAACCTTGGAGCAACTTTGTTCCAGGGATGTCAGCACTGGAGTACGTTTTATAAATAACAAGCTGAGGCACATGGAAGAGTCGTGCCATGACTCCCCAAGTATCATCTTCCTGTGGTACCCTCACTTCCTCTGGCTTGGGGTTGGTTTTTATCTGCTCACCTTCCCTTTAGCGGCTGGGATTCGAGGGTTTCCTTGTGGTCTAAAACCTAGCACAAGGCAGGCTGAATACGGCACAGTATAGTTGCAGATGAAGGTGGAGAGCTGTGTCCTGGTCCTATTTCTGCTGAACAACTGGGTGACCTTGGGCACATCACTAGGGCCCATAGCCTCAGTTTTTTCCTGGTGCTTCAGGAGTTGGAGTACGTGAAGGCTTTCAAGGGTTCCTGCAGTCTGGTGACCTCTGCACACCACACAGTATTAGACCCCAATTGCATGAACAGTCAGATCAAGAGTTCTGCTCAACAAATGAACCTCGCAGCTGGGCAGCTCTTACAGAGCCCCAGAAAGTGGAGGCCAAGGAAGGAGCCTTTCCCCAAACTCATAGCTGTAGAGATGATCCAAAGAAGAGAAGTCGAGTCTCCTCCTACTTCACCCCACCCACCCAAGACAAGCCAGACCTAGAGGCCCCTTGGGGGTGGGAAGAGGGGAGCCTTCACTCTGGCTCTTGGATGCTGCTGTGTGCTACTCCCCCAGGTCTCAGGTCAGGGGAAATCCAGGATGGCAAAAGAGCCAGCTCATGTGGAGATGCCATGGGAAATCTGATCAGTTAAATCAAGTGAAATGTAGAAATTGGGGCCAGCTTCCACTTCTCAGAGGCTTTGCCTAGACTCGTGGCACCAGGGTCTATGAGGAGACTCATGGTGGCCACTCCCTGGTGCTTTGACATTTTCCCTTTGTGGCTTCAGGGAGGAAGTCATTGGCTCAAGCTTTCTTTCAAGCACAGGTGTCTCTTTGCTCCACATTCTAGACTTTACCTGCCGGCTGAAGACCCAAGCTTCCTTGAGTCCTAAGTGAAAGCTAAGATCCCTCCTCACAATCTACACATGTTGTCCAGTCAATTTTCTTGGCTATTTACCTATCTCTAAATCTCTGCAGTTTGGGCCTTCAGATCCCAGCATTTGAGCTTTGGGATGTTAGCCTACATGGCTGTTGGACTGGTTAGCTGGTTCAAGCCCTGCTCTCTGTGATGAGCTAAAAGACCCGGGAAAGGCTTCTTAGCCTTCTCCTCCTCCTCCTCGGCTCACCTTTGTGCTTTCTCCAGTTCTAGAGACATTGACCTCTCACATAGCCCATCTGTTCACAGACTCTCTGATTCCCCAGCCACCACATGTAGACTCCCCAGAGTCAAGGAGGGCCCTTTACTCCTTGGGGACCTGGCCAAACCTCCATCCTGTAGAGGTAGGAATCCCCCAACATTAAGCCCAAAGACTCCTTACTGACCATTAAATAAGAATGATGAAGGGCACAGCATGCAGGAAAAATGTCTTCTTAACTTCCTCAGCCACTGCAAAGACAAACCGCAAGGATGCTGCTTGACAGGTTGACCGTGCAGGGCAAAGAGACTCTGTTCCAGGGACTCTTATATGGGAAGCCTGAGGAGGAGGAAAGGATCAATAATTTGTGCTGGAGGAATGGCAGTTGAGATTTGCATAAGATTCCCTTAGAAGACGGGTTATGCAGAGGCCAGTGTGGCTTCACTGTTATTTTTAAACAAATATTTTAACATTCTAAGTTAGTTGCTAATGATACAAAGGTAGGGCTGGGGATATAGCTCCGTGGTGTAGTGCCTGCCTAGCAAGCACAAGTCCTGAGGTCAATTCCCAAAACCACCAAAGAAGAAGAAGAAGAAGAAGAAGAAGAAGAAGAAGAGGAAGAGGAAGAGGAAGAGGAAGAGGAAGAGGA